GGGGGGGGGGGGGGGGGGGGGGGGGCATTTCTTTTAAAAAATAATCGGTTTATAGGTTGCGCTCTCTTCCTTAATTTGTCCAAGTCAATCTTTTTTTTTTCCAATCTCTTCATATTCAGAAAATCCTACATATTTTTTGCGGAAAAGGGCCAAATGTGTCCCTGTACTATTGAAAATTAGTTATTAGTACCCTCCGTTATACTTTCCCGCATTATTTATCCCTAACGTTATCTATTTTAATATCCTTACCCCCATCACTAACGGACCCTTCTAGAGGGACACGTGTCTTAATCCTAAACGACCTAACCACTTACCAGTTGGATCCCTCACCCGTTTGGCCCCGACCCGCTAACCCACGTCCCCCTTAAAGGATGTAATCGTTTAATCCTCTCAAAACCTAGGGTTATTCCCCAACTGAAGCAATTTTCTTTTGGTTTCTCTCATCGCGATTTTCTTTTGGTTTCTGTCATCATCTTTATTTTCTTTATTATTTTGTCTAATTTTTAAGAATAGGGAGTTACAATGTCAGAAGGTAGTTCATCGTCTCAAGAATGTGTGTCGATTAGGACATGCAAATGTGGCTTAACTGCACTCTACCACATGGCTTACACTCTTTGGATTGCTGGTAGGAAATTCTACAAATGTCCGAAACCTGAGGTTAATATCGTATATTCTATGGTTTTCATGGTTTTATGATAATTTTATGGTTTTCATTTTCTGAAATTTCACTTGTAACATGGTGTATGATTTTGTTTTTCAGAAATATTCGTGTGGTTATTTTGAATGGGCTGATGAAGTGTTACCCGACAGAGCTATGATAATTATTTGTAAGTTGAAAGCACAACTGGAGGCTGTCAAGATTGAAGGCTAAAATTGAAGGAAAAATTGGAAGCATTAGAGGCAATAAATGAGGTTGAATGCACCAAAACAAGAGACATATTGAAGGGAAAAAATGAAGAAATGGAGGCTGCAATTCGCTGGGAAATGACCAATTCAAGGAAATTGGAAGCCAAAGTCTTGAAGTTGAAGATCTTTACTATGATATCTTGGGTCCTATTTGCTAGCTTATTTGCAGCTTGTATGGCTAATAGATATTAGTAGTAGTTGGTGAAATCTAGTTTATATTTTGTTAAGTATCATGAATGATTAACTTAAGTGGCAGTAGTGCATTGTGTACTTTTTTGTTGGCTAATTGGATTATTACTTTCCAGATTGTATATATTAGTTTGTGTTCACCTATTTTTGTTGGTTAATATGATGTGAGCTTCATGAACTTGTTCCGAAATAGAAATGAGACACAATTTAACTGCTACTCAAGCTACATAAATGAACTTGTGCTTATCCAAATAAAACTACACTACTAATCATATAAGTTGCAATAAGGAAAGAAACTGAAATAGTCTAAATTACCATTAACATTAGTAGCAAAAGTTAACTGTCAACATACAGTTAAACTGACACACGGATACCATATTATAACCCCAAAACAAGTTACCACCTAGGTCATACTATGGCATCCAACTGTCAGTACCAATAAAGCATTTAAAACTAGAGTTAAATGTACTGTCAGAAGTCATAAATTACATCACCAAATCAATTTGTTTAGACAAAATACTATTACTTCAAAAACATATTGTCCTGCAATATTTCACTTCCCCTTTCTTGCCCTAAGCTTCCCAATCTTCTCCTGCGCCTGCATCTCCAGTTTGTTAGTAGTTAGAGCTTCCTTCCCCTTCCATGTGAGTCCTCTAGGTGAGTATGACAGAATTGAGGGCTGACTCACACCAGTTGAATCACCTCTTAAGTTGATGACTCTTGTTCCATCTGTAAGGTTGGGTTCCTGTCTCATTTGAAGACTTTTCCCCATCTCCGATATAACCTTTGGCCTTAAAGCAAGATCTTCCTTATCTTGGATAACTGACAGAGAACATGTGGAACTAACAGATTTCTGGAGCCTCTTTAAGTGAGAAAAAACTGGTGTAGGAACGAACACAAAAGGATTGCTGGAGCCTACACTAGCTTGAGATTGTTCAGGCCCTGACAAAGGTATGTCTTCATCAATATCTTCATAGTTTTCAGTTGTCTTCCTTTTCTGTGGTAGAGTTCCATTAGATGGCTGTCATTAATAAATGAGACCTATTAATAATGTAGATATCACTTGTTAAAAACTAATTATCTAATTATAGTAACAGTTACCTTTTTACACCCTCGTGAGTTGTGGTTCGGTTCTCCACAGTTGCTGCAATTCATAACCCTCCCCTTCCTTGACATAGACCATTCACTTTGTCTCTTAATTGCTTCATCCTTTTGCCTTGTTCTCTTCACCTTAGGTCTGCCAGCTAACTTCACTATCTGTGGTGGTTCCATTGCATCAGCAGGGACTGCCTTCCAGAATTTTTCTCCCCTAACAGGCAGTATCTTGTGTGAATATGTCTTTAATGTTGCCTCTTTGCTATACCACTAATGTATTCCCTCCAAAGGGTCAAGACCTTTGTACACAAATGCCCTAATGGCATGAGGACATGGTATTCTAGATAGTTGCCAAGCCCTACAGCTGCACTCCTTCAAGACTATGTTTACTGTATGTCTATCAGGCCCTTCAGATATTTCATAGCCCCGGTCACCATTAAAGTGAACCTTGCATTTATGTGCAATCCTCAAATAACCTTCATAAAGCTTCATGGCATAAGGACTAAAGTCAGTAGTCCATGACTTCACTTTGTCCTCATGTTCTCTCAACATTTCCATCACCTTCACCCTAATATCCTCTAACATCTTAATTATAGGTTTGTACCTTACATCCAGGATCCATGCATTGAATGATTCTGTAAAGTTGTTATCCACAACCATATTCTTGCATACAGTGTCAAAAAATGCTCTACACCATGACTGGGGAGGGTAATGAAGCAAATCCTTCACTGCATTTTCATCCATATGCCCTATCTTCTTCAATTGATCATCAAAATCCTCCTCATATGTGCACCATGCACTCCACCACAGCAGCTTTTTCATTTCTCCAGATCTCCATCTTTTACACCAATTAGCCTCAATGTGTCTGACACAATACCTATGATTAGCATCAGGTAAAACAGTTTTCATTGCCTCAACCAACCCCTACAAATCATAATGAATACAACATTAGTTTTAAAGAACCAGTCACAAGTTTAAAGAAACTGAAATAACTATAAAATAACATGGACAGAAACACTACCTTTTGCATGTCCGAAATAAAAGTGTATCCTTCTCCCATGTTGAGCTCCAGTGACATCTTTAGCATTTCCAAAAACCAGTACCAAGTTCTCTTTGTTTCTTTGTCCACTATAGCCCAAGCTATAGGGTAGAAATGATTCATTGAGTCAAGACCAACAGCAACCAAAAGCTGACCCTTAGCTTTTCCCTTCAGAAATGTCCCATCCAGTCCAATGAAAGGCCTCATACCTTCCTTAAAACCCATTTTCATAGCATGAAAGCAAATATACATTCTTAAGAACCTCCTCTTGCCTTCAAGAAGAGCCTCTTTTGACAAATTAATTATTATATCACTTCCTGGGTTACTAATCTTCAATTCATTAACATAACCCTCTAGCTTGTTGTACTCATCTTTAAAGCTTCCCTGTAGCTTATTCAAAATAAGTGTTTTTGCTCTCTTGCATTTACCATGGCTTGCATTAAGCTCAAATGCAGCTCTCAAATCAGCCCTCATCTCTTTCACTTTATATTTTGGATTGTCTTGCAACTTCCTCCTAAAATAATGTGCAATAGTGAAGTAGTCAACGGTGTTATTATTATAAGCAATGAAATAATTATGATTTGGATTTAGTGTCTTCACTCTAACCCCTGGACAGTCCCCATCCTTAGAAATTAGGCAAACAAATGGACAACCTACTTGACACTCATACCTAAGCCTTCTTGTATCACTTTTCTTAAGCACTATCTCTTTCTTATTTGCCATAGCATACAGTTTCAGACACTTCCTAGCTTCAGGAATATCCTTAAAGCTCATATTTTTATCCAGTTCTTTGTAATCCAGCAACTGCTCAGTTATACTCATACTCCTCTGAGTTGAAACAAATTCTAATTCTTCAGAATCATAATGTGAAGAATCAGAGTCAGATTCATTATCAAACTCACCATCTGTTGAGCTACAATCAGTTGCAGCCTCATGGTCAAGTGCAACATCATTAGGTTCATCCTCACCATAATGTAAAATATCAGGTACATTCACTGCCAACTCACAATCCTCTACAGCAAATATATCAACAACATTATAATCACTACAAATCATTCCTAACAGTTTCCTAATACCACTATCCTCATCAACTTCATAGTATCTACCAGAAGGAGAAGATACAATAACTTGTTGAACCCCACCAAAACATAACTTAGTGCAAAACTCATTAACTATATCTATAAAGGATAGATGGTCAGAGTCATAACCTTCCCAGGTGTGTAACAGCTTCTTTGTGTATTTGACTTGTGGCTCTCTAGTCCATTCCCCACCATAGTTAAATATCAAGTCCAAATTAACCATAGTAATCTGTAATCAATTGACATATTAAACAATTAGAAGCTAAACCATAAAATAAGCTAAACAACAACTTAACTAAACGATATTATAAAATACAGCCGGAAAGAAACTAATAAAAAATAGTAAAGCAACATCCAAATAAGCTAATAAAAAATAGTGAAGTAACATCCCTAGACAAAGGGACAGAACATGGTTCAAAAACCCTAAAAGACAAAGCACATAAAGACAACCCGGACCACCAAATCAGCCACATGCAATACAACAACTAATAAAGTTAATGCCTTTAAGACAAAATGAACTATTATACTATACATTCGGGACCACCATCACTTGCATATGCAAATACAATAATCCATAAAGTTAAAGCCATGTATAAAACCCCACATTCTGCTTAAAATATTAGACTTTGCAGTGAAAATCATATAAAAATAGGACCTAGACACGAAACCCCAACCTCAATAACAAAATCTGATAAACCCTAGATATTTTAGTCACTGAAACCAAACATGAAAAAAATAAGTTTTAATCAACTGAAAAAATCTTAAGGCTAAGCTTTTACTATGGTAGAAGAATTAATTTACCTTTAGACCATGAAAATCGGCAGATTGTAATCGGCGGTAAGAGTGAAAGTCACCTGATTTTAGGTAGGTAAGGTTAGACTTTAGAGAGAAATGAGGTTTAACCCTTTTTTGTTTTAACGTATATAGCGGGCTAGGTTAAAGGGGATGTGGGTTAGCGGGTCGGGGCCAAACGGGTGAGGGATCCAACTGGTAAGTGGTTAGGTCGTTTAGGATTAAGACACGTGTCCCTGTAGAAGGGTCCGTTAGTGATGGGGGTAAGGATATTAAAATAGATAACGTTAGGGATAAATAATGTGGGAAAGTATAACGGAAGGTACTAATAACTAATTTTCAATAGTACAGGGACACATTTGGCCCTTTTCCGTATTTTTTGTGTTTCTCTTTGATATTCTTATTCACTTTTTTTTTTCAAGATTTCACTAGTTCAAGTGTTCAGCAATACTTTTAAGCTTCCAATAGTTCTATACTTCTATTGCTTTGTAAAATCTTATCTAAGATCAACAATATCTCAAAAAAGATTAGATAGGTTGGCTGTATATTATCAATTGAGCAAGAATTATTAGAGAAAATCTATTATAAAAAAAATTATTAACAACTTTATATCTCAATAAGTTAGAAAAATAGACTTCAAATAAAAACATATTATCTTATAACTTTTTTAAAAATTTTAGGCCTCATATTAAATTTTGACTTTAGGTCCCGTGTGTGCTTGAGCCGCCTGAATGTCATCATCTTTTAAGTAAGGAAATCCAACATAAAAAATGGAGGACACATCGTTTGAACAGTCGATTAGTAGATCATGACACATCTGTTTTAAATGACCTTTTAAAACTATAATTCACTTAATAAAAACTGGTACAATAAATTTTGATGTGTTCTAAAAGAGCATTACAGTTATCCCCCACAATCAACAATTGTCCTCTCGAAACCAACATTTGAAATTTACGGATTCCGAAATTATCAACGTAACTCACAGTTCGTTTTAGTTACTGGCTTCACAATTAAATATTATACATATTTGATAAGTTTTTTAATACAATACAAAATTGATTGGGTTCTGCCGATCCCGTACCTAATAGGCTAGCTCCGGCTCTGCCCCTGATGCTACTACTATTCCGCGATCGACTTAGTGAAATCAGCTATGTGCTTTTAGTATTTCGCATTCGCCCTGTTGCTAGAATATAATATGCCCTGAAATTCACTTGTTTCTGGAGTAACACTGTGAGAATTAGGAGAACATGCTAGGCATGAAAAGGGTATGTAAAAACGGTATCTTATTAAAATGACTTGATAGTGTACCTAACTGTGTATATTACTATATTTGTATGTCTTACATTGGCAACATTCTAACTCGTCTCAACTCTCACGTGCCCTTAGGCTAGAAATTGAAGTTCTCTGGACGATGCCAAACGCCAAGGAATAGGACACATAATAAAGACTTGAATGCTTCTTATTAACTAAATGTCTTAGTTACTCAAATGGTCACTCAACTATACCAAATTATCTCTTAAAGTCACTTTACTTTCGTTTGTAACAACAAAGTCACTAAACTATGTCTATTGCACTCAGAAGGTCAGTCAACTAGATTTTCCAAATTTTGGATTGCCAAATACCTATTTCACCCTCTAGATTATAAACATTTATCTTCTTTTTATTTTTTTTAAACTTTTTAATATTATGATTTTTTCTTTTAATTTATATTATGGACTTACCTATAGAATAAATAAATATTATTTATAAATTACAAAAATAAAAAGTATTTAAGCATATATAATGTTGGAATAACAAAATAATGAGCATAATAAAAAAAATAGTTAGAATAAAATTGTTAGTAATAATGATTTTAGTATTAACGACAAAAATTCAAAAATTTATTTACACAATTCAGAATGAAATATATATTCCATGCACGTAATATAAATAATTATTTAAATAAAGGTATTTTTATAATATACATTATATATTCTTGAAAGTTATGCTCAGTTATATGATTATGTTTCTACCAACTTTCCGATGACACAAAGTGATGTCACCGCAAAGCAGGGGGACTATCTGTATAGGGTAAAATATGCTATGTTAAGTCGTGCATGGAATATATAAATATAATTGAGTATAATTTTTAAGAATATATAATGTATATTATAAAAATACTTTTATTTAAATAATTATTTTTATATTACGTACATGGAATATATTTTTTACAACCTTTATTTTCTTACATTCTGAATTGTGTAAATAAATTTTTGAATTTTTGTTGTTAATACTAAAATTATTATTACTAACAAATTCTAATTAATTTATTCACTATGCTCATTATTTTGTTATTCCAGCGTTATATATGCTTAAATACTTTTTATTTTTTTTAATTTATAAATAATAGTTATTTATTCTATAGGTAAGTCCATAACATAAATTAAAAGGGGAAAATCATAATATTAAAAAGTTTAAAAATAAAAAGAAGATAAATGTTTATATTTAGAGGGTAAAATAGGTATTTGGAAATCCAAAATTTGGAAAATCTAGTTGAGTGACCTTCTGAGTGCAATAGGCATAGTTCAGTGACTTTGTTGTTACAAACGAAAGTAAGTGACTTTAGGAGATAATTTGAGATAGTTGAGTGATCATTTGAGTAATTGACTCTTAACTAAACTAGTAGTCGTACCCGCGCGATGCGCGGTCAATATTAAAAAGAAAAAAATTAAATTATAATCATTCTTGTTTGATACTATTAGACCGTATTGCTTTAATAAATTTTAATTGTCATTTTATTTGCCAATACCATATACCCAACCCTCACCGATATTTGAGTCGTTAATTTCTTTGTTAATTTTCAATAAATAGTTTTTTTGTTATTAACTAATTATGTCATGTGACTTTTATCTAGGCTACCACTTGTATTAATGTGGTGCCTTTTTCTTTGGCTTTTAATACTATATAGATAGATTATTAGCATATTACTTGTTTAATATTTTTGTCTGCTATTTTTTTTGTAATATAATAGAAGATATATATTTTATTACTCTTGAAAATATATATTTTTTATTTTAAATTTTATTATATTTTTCTCAATAATATTGTTTGAATTATAATGAATAGATATATATTTTATTTCAAAAAATAAAAAAGAAAATGATTTTAAAAAATGAAATAAAGAAATTAACTAACCTAAACCAACTCTCCCCCGTGTTTTAGTAGTTAATTTAGGTAGTTAATTTCTTTGTTAATTTTCAATAGATAATTTCTTTGTTATTAACTAATTATTCCATAAGATTTTTTTCTAGGCTACCACTTGGCATAAGGAGAGGGCTTTATTTTCTCCTTTTAATAATATAT